CGCCCGCCGGTCCCACCTGGGACGGGGCGGTCCACTCACCGGGAGAGCAGCGCCAACTTCTGCTCCAGCATCATCTCCAGCTTCTGGCCCTGCCTGGAGACCCAGTGGTCCACGCCGTGCAGGCGGTAGCACGTCTCCAGCATCCGCCTGAAGTCCGCCACGAACTCGGTGATGCCCCGGTACTGGCCGCTGCTGAACTTCTCCTCCATCTTCAGCAGGCACATGCCCTGCCCGGGGTGCTGCGGCGGGAGGGGGCGACTGCCCTCCCGGGCCCCGCCGCGCGGCCCCTCGGCCGCCGCCGCCGCCGCCTCCTCCCCGGCGGCAACGCCCCCCAAAGGCTGCAGGAAGGGGGCGGTGAGGCCGCGGTGTTTCTCCTGCAGGAACTCGCCCAGGATGCGGTAGCCCTGCTGCAGCTCGTAGCTCAACTCCTGCTCCTTGCAGCCGCTGGCCCCGACCCCCATCGCCGCCTCCTCTTCCTCCTCCTCCTCCGGGCCGTCCGCGTCTTCCCGCGAGGAGGCACTCCTCCTCGGTCGGGCCGGCCCTGAGGCCTGGGCCGCCGCCGCCACCTCCTCCCCGTCCTCTTCCTCAACTGCGGCCGGCGGCCTCTCCTCCTCCCGGGCCGGCTCCATCTCCCCCGGCGTCTTGGGCGCGCTCACGCCCCAGGCAGGCCCAGGCTGGGCGATGCGGAGCGGCCGCTCGAGGCGCCGGGGGGACGCGTGAGCGCGGGCCGCGTCCTCAGGGCGCCGCCGCCGCCGCGGCCGCGCCGCGCAGCCCCAGCCGCATCGGGCCTCGCTCTCCTCCTCCGCAGCCGAGGGCTCGGCTCCGTGCGCGCGGGGGTCTCGAGCTCGCCGCCGGCGGGGCGGGGTTACATGGCGCGCGGGGGATGGGGGAGAGAAGAGGAGAGCCTAGGTGCCCTCCTCTCCCCTCCCCCCCGGCGGCGGCGGCGGCGGCGCGCGCGGCCCTCGGCGGCCTTACCCCTCTGCGGCCCGCCCGCCCGCCCTCCGGCCCGCTCTTCACCCGCCAGGCCCGGCCGGCCCGGCCCGCCGCGGCCTCGGCGCCCCACCCCCTCCCGGGCCGGCGAGGGGACTGGGAGGGGGCGAGGACCAAGTGCGGGTCCTCTCGCCTCCCCGGAGGGGGCCGCAGCGCTGGGCCGCGGCGGCTCGGGCTCCTCCTCCCCCTCCTCTCCCTCACACCCCTCCCGCCCCTCTCTACCTGCGGGGCACCCGGGCGAGGAGGAGGCGGCGCGCGGACCCAGCCGGACGACAACTGTCAGTTAGAAGCCCCGCTGGGCGGGTTGGGGCTGGGGGGGTGGTGAGGTGGGAAGGGGAGGGGCAGAGAGAAGAGGGAGGCACACAGGTCTCCTCCGCTCCACCCCCCCCACCGGGGCAAAGAAAGAGTCGCCGTCGCCATCCGCGATGCGCACGCGCGTTAAGCAGCCCCACCCCCCTGGCGTCCCGCCCCGCTACGCGACAGCAGGGACGTCGGCGTAGCTGACGGTCCCCGAGATCTGGTAGGTTGCGCGGACCGATGATGTCATCAGCTTGCGGAAGATTTTAAGGGCGGAGGGGCGAGGGAAGCAAGGCGCCTGCGCCGAGTGGGCCGAAGGGCTTTTTGAGAGCAAGAACTGGGGGGGAAGGGGGAGGGAGATATCATTTCTTTAGCGATAGCCCCTTACTATCCCTAAAAACTAAAATTGCCAGGTAACATTTGTTAATAGCAGATGGAAAGTAAGAAGACACGAAATGTAAATCCTATCCTACTTTTCAATTTGCATTTTCTTTGTACACAGTTTCTTTCCCCTGGTGACTGCCGGGTTTTACATATAAAATCAGAATTTTGAAAAGTGTAAAAAGCGGCTTAATAACTAGACTAACTGAAACATGCAAGGGACAAGGAGATGATTTGAAAAACTCGGATTTCTGAAACTCTTTATCTCCAGTTCTTAACACCAATTCCTTTGAAACTAACTATGTTTTAACCTAAGGTGACCAGACGTCCCGCTTTTGGCGGGACAGTCCCGATTTTCAACAATTTGTCCCGAGTCCCGCAGCATTTTAAAAAAGTCCAAAAGATTTAAGATTCTTTCCAAAAATCGGGACTTTTTTAAAACGCTGCGGGACAAATTAAAACCGGGACGTCTAGTCACCTTATTTTAACCTCATGTTAAAATGAAAAGACATATTTCCATATTTTTGATTCTTGATATCTGCTAAGAATAAAGGAGGGGAATGGAACCTCATTAAAAAATATATGCTCGGGATTAAAAAGTTTTTAAAATATTTCAAGTCGAATCTGTAAAGCATTATTTAGCTATTAAGTAGTCATTAGCATGGCCTTGTAATCTCTACACATTATAAAATTACTGTTTAGATATCTTAAAAGTGGAATCATCCTTCACACTTGCTTAAAAATAAGTGGGCAGAAAGGAATTAATGGTTCCATAAAGCAGACATTACTGTTTTCCCATGTTCTATGTGAAAGATGCACATACTTTCTATTTAGAATGAGAAATATAACTTTTTTAAAGTAAAAGTTATTTAAACAGTCAGATATTCTGACTCTTGAGATTGTTTCTCATTTAAAGACATTTGCAATTTATTAGGTACTTACAGCATTCTCTCCTCAAAGCCTATAGATGTACTTCAGCTCACAGGTACAAAGGCAGGAAACTATTTCAGCAACTGGCAACCAAAAAAGTGTCTGACTGGACGTCCATCATTTCCTTTGACAAAGCCCAAAAATCTGGACCCATCCTATACCAGCAGATAACCCTCTTTAGCCACCAATCCTATTTCAGGATTCTCCAATATATTAGCTTACATTTGTTGAACCCTAAACACTTTATATTCATTATCTTCCTTAATTCTCACAACAATCCTATCGGCTAGGTATTATGTCTATTTTACAGATAAACTAATGCTTAGGTTAAGAAAGTAGTTTGCCAAATTTTAAATCTAAGTCTGTCATATTTCAAAATTCTCCAGGGGCCTAATTCCTAGTCATCTGGCAGAATTTCCAATTGTGCACACAAAAGAGTGTAGGAAATTGCAAGAAATGTTGATCAAGGGCTTCTAATTAAAGAATATTAAGATAAAGAAGCATGGCTGAATAGAAGGAACCTCAGCCATGTCATAGAGAAGCCAAGATGATTGTGATTAGGTCTTTGAACCTAAAATATGTATATAAAAGGAATATGTTGGTTGTAGGTTAGAAAATATAAAAAAGTAAGTTTCAAGGAAAAAAAAAATTGTCATTTAATCCCATTATCCAGGGAAAACTTCTATTAATATTTTATGGTGGGATTTTTTTCTATTTATTTGTATATTTTTAATTTATCTTAAATAAACTTAAAATTGTGACTATACTGTATTTAATGTCCTTTGCTTTTCCCACTTAATTAATAAATAATTATACGGAATGGACAGGAATTGCATACCTAAAATTTCACCTTCAATAAGGATAACCAATGGACACAAAACACTGGGGGGTGAGGGCATATATGGGAGTGGTGGTGGGGGGGAAGACAATGGTAAGATATGTACACGTATAACACCTTAGTAAAAAAAAAAAATGGAAAAAAATAAAGTAAATAAAAAGCTAAAAAAAATTAAAATAAAATAAAAATTCACCTTCATATTTCTGACAATGGCCTAGGTGGCCTGCTTATCTGAACTGGTAGGTGGAAAATCAGGGATATTCTAATGTAAAAGGCATTCTAAACCATTAAAAAAAAACAAAAAAAAAAACACAGTAAAAATACAAACAACAGCAGCAATAATAGCTACCATTTATTAAGCACTTACCAGTACTTGCTAAACAGTTTACACAGACAGTACTCACAATAGTACCGGGAAATCATGATAGTTTGTTATTTATTTTTAAATTTTGGGTCAATGATTTGCTGAGTAGAAAGCTTTTTTCTACCCTACAAAAGCCCAATATTAAAGACTGACATTCCAATTAATATAATTAACCCTACATTTTCAGTACTTTTTTCTTATAATGCACATCTAATGCTAAATGACTGTCTGAAAGCTGTTTACATTTTCATGTCTAAAGATATTAATTTTGCTTTCCTTTCATTTTCACAATAAAATATTCTTTAGTGCTACTATAGAATCTATTAAGAACTTCTTCAAAACAGAAATCTATTTAAGCTCCACTTTAAATTAGGCCTTCTTGTTGAGCTGCTTTGGAAGGGAAAAATAGCATACATACACAATACAATATTCTGCTCAAATACATAACATTGAATGACTCCCACAAATATTATTTCCATTTGTCAAACTGTTATTACAGTATGTTACATGGTACCAATGTTAGATGTCAGGACACCCTTTGCAGTAAACATGGTTTTTAGAGTCCTAAGTTAACTTCACAGAGACCAGTCTGGCTAAGAAAATTCTAAAGTTCTCATAACTCTCAGCTGGAGTAGAATGTGGGTGTTTCATCCAATTCTGAGGAAGGCATCGTGAAAAAGTTCATAAATATTATAAATTCCCCACATCCACTGCAATATCTCAAAACTCCCAATATCCACATCTTCCTATTATCATGAAGCCCAGGAATATTATCAAGGAGGAATAAGCCTGCCACTATATTCTTCACCCATAATTACAAAGATGTTTGTCCTGGAAGTTCTCCTATCCTAACTTTGTGAGCTCTTAGGATCTTGTAATAGGCAATATGATATCCTGACACCATGTATAATGCTTGCTCATGACAAATAGCAACAATTTATATATTTCACATCAACTAGGGGAAGGAGAATAAATATTCTAAGACAGTGGAAGCACAGGTCATCACCAAGATCTATGGTTATGAGATAAAACATGCAAGGTGAACAGGTAATAATACTGGCTAATCCTGGAGAAACATGGGGAAGGAATACAAACTGCTTAGCAGGGAAAAAATAGTTCTCTCATTACAATGGAATCCATTCACAACACTTATTTGGAGTTGCTTTACGGTAGATGATATTCAAGTAGTATTAAAGTGCTTCAAGCAAAATTCAGCAATTCCTGTAAGGCTTCCTGATGCTCGTCATCAAGTCGGGATATACATTCCAACCACAATTCTTCAGAAGTCTGTACCTTGCGCACAACATTAGCCAGGCGTTTGGCACAGGGATCTTCATAGTTAATAGTCTCATTAATTTTTCCTTCTGCAATTATATTAACTATTTTGGGAAGATTGGAATTATTTGGACCAAGTACAGCTGGGTGGTTACTTTCAATTAAGTCACAGAGGAAACTCAAAGTCTGAATAGCTTCCTCTTTATCCTCATGCAGTGGGAGCCATGACAACCAGTGGGGAAGAACTTCATCAACATTTACACAGTTAGGCTTATACCTCAAAATCTTGCCTACTGCTGAGATACAGTTCTCTGTAGCAATGACATTTTTTTTGGTTTTAGAATTTGCACATTTAATAATTTTTACCAGCAGTGGAACAGCTTCTGAACATAAAGAATGATAATCATCTCCACCAAACTGTGCCATAACACCCAGACCATAAGCAGCAGCTTGCCTGACTTCAGGGTTATTATCTCGCATATTTAGTAGCATGGGCCACCGAAAATATTCTACATATTTAAATGAGGTTGGACTACAGTGCTCTATAATATCATCAAATATACACAATCCCCACTGTCTATCTGGCCATGGCCTATTAGAACAAATTAGATTTACAATTAATGGAAGCAGCTGTTCAAACCATGGTAAAATCTTTTCTTTGTAAGTACTAAATAATGAGTGCAAAATATCTGATACTTTGGTCAAAATGTAAACATCACATTCATCCTCATCTTGCAAGGACATTTCAACCTGTTGGTCATAGTTTTCTTCCTGTCTTTTAACCTGTCTCAATTCTTGGTTTTTAAAGTGCCCTTCAAGTTTTGCTTTCAGTATTTCTCCCAGTTCTTCTAAGTGTTCATCATTAAGGCAGCCATCTCCCATCACTTCAATGGACTTTGCAAAAGAACTCATTATTTCTGAGAGTACATCCGTATCAGGTTCAGTCCCAATAGCCTTGATTAAGGGATCACATATGAATTGCCACATCTGTGCAAGATACTCTGGGCCACGAATTCTTGCACATTCCAGGAGAAACGGCATGGACTCAGCTGCTGCCACTCGAACATTGTCATGGAAATAAAATTTCAGTAAAGGAACCATCAGCTTTACAATTTGTTCTGTATATTCCACAAGTCCTTCCCTTAATTCCTTGGCATAGTAAACCAACATCTGGCAAGCAGTTGCTTTTGCTTCAAGTCCTGAGGTTTTAATTCCAAAACTCTGCTGATCACCAAGATTTACAAATTGCCAGCCATCATCATCACTCATATTCTCCACATCTTGTGTGTCTAAGAGAGCAACATCAGGTTTAGCTGAAGCTGTCTTAATAAGAGGCTCAATAACCAGTGGAAGGTACTGTTGAAAATCACTTCCAAGAATTTTACACATTCTAGCCCATGCTGAAACCATATAAGAGGTCTGAGGGTCATCGTCTTCCATATTATTTAAATCTGATTGTGTCTTCAACAATATCTGCATCACATTCGATGCATCTTGCATAAATTTTTCCTTCCCAACAGCAAGACCAACATGGCTAATGCATTCAATAGTTTTTCCTTTCAGAAGCTTGAGTTCCTTTTGAACAGCAAGCTCAACTATTTGCTTTAGTGATGGCATAAATATATCATAATATGGAACAAACTTTTCTTCTATTGTATCTGCAACTGAGGCAATAGTTGTCACAAGCTGTTCTAAAGCCAACTTAGTTCCATTCCGAATCAACTCTTGAAGTTTAATTACCAAGATGGAATGTAGGTTTCTCACCATACTATCCAAATATATAACTAGCAATGATTTGGGGCAGTCTTCAATAAAAATAACAAGTGCAGAAGCTGCATGTGATTGCACACGCTGATTACCTTGATTTTCCATGGTACGCAACAGAGCTGCAATCACTGTTTCATGGAATCTCTTTTGGAAATTAGGTGCAAAATCTGTAGCCATCTGTCCAAGTGTAATACAGGCTGCAGCCCTTACCCTTGGATGAGGATCCTGAAGAAAAAGCAAAACAGAGTTAACCATTTCATCTAGAATTGGTTCCATTTGCTGATGGCATCCTTCTCCAATGGCAGATAAGGCCATTAATCCGGCATGTCGATATTTCCAGTCAGGGCTCTGAAGCATCTGCATGATATGCTCCTTCGTGATTGGTAAAACAAGTTTCCCACCGAGCCCACAGGCCAGTCTGTCTAGTGCACTCTCAGCAGCAACGGCATTGCTGTCAAAATCATCTTCTTCCATTTCATCGGCATTTACCCAGTCCTCGTCATCTTGTAGATCAACCATCATTCCCAATATATGAGGAATTGCCTGTGCAATAATATTTGTGTATTTTTTCAACATGGGGGTTGCGGTTTCGGACAAGGTCACTATTACTTCAAGGGCCAGCTGGCGTTGCAGGTTACTAAGTCTAGAGTCTCCGCACAACTTTAGGCTCAGCTGCAGGGTATCTTCTAAGTAAGGACCCAAGTATTTAGGGACAGTATCTGCAATCTCAACAAGGGATTCTAGCACGGAATCGTCATCCTGGTAGCAAGAGTCATTCACGGCCTGTAAGATCCCGGGAAGCAGGTCCGCAAAGTCTTTGAAAAGAGCGATGTTATTCTCATTGGCAAGCACAAACGTGGCTGCGGCTCTGGCGGATAACGTCCTGATGGCTGGATGCTCCTGATCTTGAATGCACTGGTCCAGCAGCCGCTTGATGATATCCAAATCATGCCGCTCCTGGTTCCCAAAGATGCCGGGGAAGTGCCAGAAGACGTGGAGCGCGACCTCCCACAGAACCACGTTCTTGGAGTAGATGGAATCGACCAGGAACTTGAGACCCTCCGGCCAGTGGTTCGTGCCCTCCTCGTCGATCAGGTTCCTCGCCAGCACGGCGAAGATGTCGCACAGCTTTTTCCTCATGCTGGCGTGCGTCTCCAGCTTCACGGCCAGGATCAGCTCAATCTTGACGTCCCGCTGCACATCGGAGGGCAGATTAGGGTAGACCTCCTCGAACCCGGAGGACAAAAGCCGCCGCAGCAGCGCGGCAGCCATTTGTCTCACCTCGTAGCCGGCTCTCCGGTTCCTGACGGCGTCCAGGAGGCACGTCGTCTTGCACGGGCCCGGGATGTTCTCGTAGACCTCCTCGGCCTGCCGCCGCACCATGCAGCTCGGGTTGACAAGGCTCTTCAGGAGCTGGTAGAACTCCGGCTTTCCCGACACGGTCGCCGGCACCCCTGCAGCCCCGGCCGCCGCCATCGCGCCCTGTCAAAGCCGCCGCGACCCGGCGGGGAAGGCGGGAGCAGGGTCTGCGGCTCCCGCAGTGACGTAAGCGGGGCGCCGGCGGGGAGGGGCGGGGCCGGCGGCGGGGAGGGGCGGGGCCGGCGGCGGGGAGGGACGGGGCCGGCGGCGAGGGGCGGGGCCGCTCTGCCCGGGGCCGCGGGTCCTGGGGCTGCGCTACGGGAGGCGGGGAGGTGGGGGCGGGGACTGGTATCCTTTATAGGCATTCCAGTCAAATAAAAGTGCACCTGCAGAGGGGGAGAGGGGGGGGAGAAGAAAAAAAAAAAGTATGTCATTGATTGTATGAGAATGAGATTAAGGGTGATTTCCCCTTCCCTCCGCCCCCTTTATTTCTAAGCTGTCTCTACAGTCACCCTATAATTTTAAAACAAGAAATACACCTTGAGAACTGTGAAAGAAGCCGATCCCCAAAGGCCACAGATTGTAGGGTGCCATTTATAGGAGAGGTCTTGACTAGGCAGGTCTATGCAGATTAGTGATGGCCAGAGGCTGGGAAGCAGGAAGTGGAGGGGGGGTGGGGGAGAGAGAATGGAGGATGACAGCTGTCAGGTATGGGGTTTCTTTCCGGGTGATGAAAGATGTAAAGACGAAAATGGATTGTGGTGATGGTTGCACACACCTCTGTGGTTATACCAAAAGTCGCTGAGTTGTATAGTTCAGAATGGTGAATTGTGAGGTATGGGAATACTAGTAATAACCTCAATAAAGTTGTTTACCAAGTAAGTGTAATGAGAGGTAAAAAAATATATATATATATATAATAATAATTACTACCATCCCACTACCACATCTAATGCAGTAGAGCTGTAGTGCTCAAACTCGGCTATGTATCAGAATCGTTTGGTCTATGGACTATAAGAAAGAATGAAAAAGACAAGCATGGTGTGGAAAGTGACCCGGGCTAGTAATCAGAAGACTTGAATCCTGGTCTTATCTCTAAATTAATTTTGTACCCTTTGTCATGTCACTTAAGGTTTTCCTTGTGAACGTTGTTTAAACTGTAAAATGCTTTTAAAGTTTTTCCTTTTAATAGGAAGCTGCTAAAATTATTCCAAAAGACAAATGCCTCTGATGTTAACTAATTTCTTTAATTCAGGCAGGTGTGTCAAAAACAATTATTGCTCTAAAATGACTGGGTCTTACTTTTGTATTATTATTACTTTGTCATTCTGTCATTTTGACCTTAGTTTGCAAGGTTGGTAGGATAAGTATAATACAATATAATTTTAGGTGAGAAATGGAAACTCAGGGAGATTAAGGGATTTGTCTAAGATGACACAGCTCGAGTGTCAAATTCACTTCTTCAGAAAGCAACACTAATGCTCTTTCTCCATATCACTTGCCCGTGATTATTCTTGGTTTTGCAACATGATCAGAGGTCTTCACCTATTGCATAGTAGGTCTTAAACTTCTCCAAGTGGGCTTAATTTTAATATTGTAAAATGCTATTGTACATACCCACAAAGTTAGAAAATCACAAAATTTAGGGGGAACCATAATTTGTAAACAGTGTTTTTCATTTTGTGGATTGAAAACCAACTATGGCAGAATAACTTGAGATAATTATTTTTAAATATAGATATTAAGTCCCAAAGTCTGAACCACTGAATCAGAATTTCTGGGTCATAGATAAAGAACAAGCAGACAGTACTGATGGTTAGGGTTGGGATGGGGGAGTGGAGGGATTGACCAAAAAAGAAAAATAATTCATGGAGAGAACAACATTGTGGTGACTGTAATGGGGTGGTGGTGGTGGAAGAAGGTATAGGGGAATAAATGGTGATGAAAAAAAAGTAAAATAAAGAAAAAACATTTAAAAAGAATTTCTGGGGAGTGCAACCCTAGAGTATTCAATTTTAACCAACAAAGTGGATTCCCATATAAATACCAAAATTTGAGTACCATTGGCAGCTTTGGTTCTGATTCCAAAATCTTAACTATAGTTCTGCATCTTTCTCCAGACTCACTGGTTTTCTTACTGTTCCTTGAAAAAGTCCAACTGCAGGGCCTTTGCATTTGCTGATTCAGGAAATGTTAATAAGTATAATATGTAAAGGGAAAGGCTTCTGTTAACACAATATCTATTCGCACATTAAAGATTTTGGAAACTAGCCCTAGTTGGTTTGGCTTAGTGGATAGAGCCTTTGCCTGCACACTGCTGGGTCTTGGGTTCGATTTCGGTCAAGGACATATGCCTGGGTTGGGGGCTTGATCCACAATAAGGGGCATGCAGAAGGCAAACAATCAATGATTCTCTCATTTATTGATGTTTCTTTCTCTTCCTCTCCCTTCCTCTCTGAAATCAATAAAAAATATATTGAAAAAAGATATTAAAAACTATAAAGAGATGCCACCACAGACCCAGCACAGTGTTTTACATTTTATTTGTTGTTTCTTTTTTTATTTTAACCTGAGAGCATGTCTTCATTGATTTAAGATGGGGAGCTGGAAACCAGGAGGAGAGAAAGAGAGATCAGTTGCCTGCAATACTTTCCTGACTGGGATGAACCCTGGACCCTTCTGTTGCCCAACCAACTGAACCACAAGGGCCAGGGCGATCAAAGTCTGACATATCAAGAGTTAATGAGGAAGTGTTAAACAGAGAACTCAGTTATATTGTTGGTGGTAGTATAAGTAAATTGGTACAAACAGTTTTTAAAAATGTTTGGATAATGCTTGGTTCAGATTATTCAATAACTAATTAACCGCCTAGGGCTGTGGAGCAAGTTAATCTACTTTGGGTGTGGAGGAAATCAAGGAAAAGGAGGTGAAGTCAGGGCTGACTTGAAGAATGAATCTTCATGAACTATTTGAAGAAAGAGAAGAAGGTTGTTCTAAATAGAAGAAACATCTTTGCTCAAATACATCCCTTTTTTAATACCGATTGAGCATTGGGTACGGGACTTGAGAGAGCCTGGGGGATGACACTGGAGGCAGGAAGGAGACGGGTGGTTAAACAGAGGGAAGGCTATGAAGGGTCTTATATTCCATGTTAAGAATTTTTTTCTAAAAGTAGCAAGGAACTTTTTTAATGATTTTAATCAAGAGCTGTGAAATAATCAATTTTTAGAAAGATGACTTTGATAATATCATGAAGACTAGAGGTGTTGAGGAGGACAATAAGTTAGTTAAGCTAAAAGTCTAAATTATAGCAGTAGTGAAGGGAAAGAAAAGAGGGCAAGGATTGGAGAGGTTTTAAGAAGTCGCATCAATAGCACTCAGAGGGGAAAAGGAAGCTTAAGAGATCACCCCAAGTTTCAAACTGGGCATCTGGTTGGAGATGTTGTAATTTATCAATTTATTTACCTATATATGAATAAAGAGCAGTGTTAATGCAGATCGAAAGACTGGTAACTCTTTCTGAAGGAAAAAATAGGCTTCCTTAAGAAGGTGAGTCCCTTTGGCTCAGTGGATAGAGCTTTGGTCTGCAGACTAAAAGATCCCAGGTTCGATTCCGGTCAAGGGCATGTACCTTGGTTGCAGGCACATCCCCTGTAGAAGGTGTGCAGGGGCAGCTGATTGACATTTCTAACTCTCTATCCTTCTCCATTTCTCTCTGTAAAAAAATCAGTAAAATATAATATATATTTTTTTAAAAGAAGGTGAGTCTCAGAATTCATGTCTAGCTGCTCCCATATCCTATACTTGCAGTCATCTTTTCAACAGTAAGAGCTAAACTGAATCCACTTTAGGAAAATTATTTGTGGATTTTACTTTGGTAAAACATAAACTAATTTAAAATCTTAAGGTATTTTCTCTTAGATTGCATAATACTGTTATATTTATTTTTTGCACTGGGATTTCCTTTCTTTCTTCTCTCCTAAGTGGGTAATAATGCCCAAGATTTCAAGACTGGACTTGCAGATTTGGTTAAACAACTTGGTTACATTTGTCATTAAAATTGGCTTTTAAAATTGTTTGAACTGTTGTGAGGCCATTTAAGATTGTAAGGCAGCTCAATACCAGACAATGCAACTGTTTATTAGCAACTTACTAAAGGAGGAAAGAACAAAATAAATTGTGAATTTCTTCCAAGATATGAGAGATTTAGAGTCAAATGAGAGGGATAGAATTAAATTGGACATAGTTGACATTTTTACAAGAATAATCCAGAATAAATAAAAAATACAGGGAAAAAAATACCGTGAATGCTTCTACTTACCTAAACTGAAACAGTCTGAATATCAAAAAGATTAATGCCTGTCATGGACTAAAAAAATAACAAAGATATAAACAAAAGTGATGGGTTTCTAATATTAACAAAAACCTCCAAAATAACCATCTTTGGAGGTTACCGGTCATCAACTTTGAAAATGGATGAAGAGAAATCAAGTTTGTTTTTTTTCCCTATCTTTCTTGTGCAAACTGTATTTCAGGTTAACTAAATAGTTGATGAGAGTACATTCTTCTTTATAGAATTTGACCTAATAGATTCACAAAGAATGCTAAAATCAGAAAATCACTGTGTCGTAACCCCAAATGAAAGAATTTATCTATGTAACACTAAGCAATGGATGTTTTAAAAAAAAAATCATTAAATGAAACATTGGTTAGAATTTAAAAATAGAGGGATTCGGTGAAACCACCTGAAATTACAGATGAATCTTAATATTATTAAAAGTAGGATAAACCAGAGGTGTCATTAACCTGTTATCTACAGCTCCATATCCATACCTCCTGTAATTTGTTCGCTGATGCTGAGATTAGACTCTGGAAACAAAATTTATTTTTTACAGCTGAGTGCCTGATAGTTTCCACTAACAGGAGGCACTAGAGATTGGACGATAGAAAAGAGATAGGAAAGGAATGAATCCTGTTTTTCCTTTTCTTGTCTAGATTGCCCCAGCAGTAGCCCTTCCTCCTGGTGGTGGCAGTTTCCTCTCTTTTACAACGCTGAAAAAACCCGTTCTCTTCCATCTTTGTAGAAACACCAGCGGTAACCAGGGGCACTCCTTTCT